CAGTATGGTAAAATGTTACTAAGAAATTTTATTCAGAATGAAAAGTTATGGCCATATGCAAATTTTCATCAGCCTACTTTGATAAAACCTATTGTTTATTATTTTCGTCAATAGTACCTTATTACGACTTTTTGTTTTGAGATTCAGATTATTAGGGAGAAATAAACAAACCGTTCTGAAAATGTTCACAAGAAATTAAGTGTGTGTTCGCCCACAAAGGAAAACAGTTGATCATAGTTAATCAGTTTCATCATAATTTTTTTTTCTTAGAGTGAATACTTCCTGCTGTAAGAAATCTTTTGATTAAACGCCAACAAGTACTTCTTTTAATTGCAGTATTTGGAAATTTTTCACAAAATAAAGCAATAATCGGTTTTTTCCCGGTTCCATAACACTGAATCACGTAAACTTTTTCCTGTAATGTTAACATTCTGTTTAAAAAACACTTTAAATTTACTAAATTACAGTTTGACAGATTAACAGTGACAGGAAAGCAATTTTGTTTTTCCATGGCAGTCTTTGTTAAAAATAAAATTGTTTGATATGAATTTTTTCAAAGTAGGCCGATCAATCCGAAAATTTGCATATGGCCATAGTTTTTCATTCTGAACAAAACTTCTTAGTAACACTTTCACGTACTGTAAACAGAAAAGGTACTTTACCTGCCACAAAAAGAGTTTTTCTTTCACTGTCAAGGCTCACTTGTTTTTAAAAAATTGAAAATATGTTTAAAATTAGTCTTTAATCAAGCAGGGCTAAACCCCAAAAAATGACAATTAATATCGAAAAAAATTTACCTTTTATAAGAGTCGTTTCACCTATCCGGGGACACACTGTATATAAACCTTGGGATTGGGCTGGGTTCAGTTGTATATTTTTATTGAACTAGACATAGATCTAAAATTTATATACAATTTAAATCTGGCTAAAATAGCCTGAATGTTAGTTTGAGGATCAATTTTTTTTTTAATTTTTGAAGTTTATTTTGTAAGAAAAAAGTATGTATAAATAAAAAACCTTTTCTTGATCTCCCCCCTTTCGTTGCTGCTCAGATGGTGTTAAGTTATTCCACCAAAAAGGGGGAGCTCCACACCCTGTAAATCGCCCGTGTCCTATCTAGTGACCCGTGGTTGTAAAGTGTGTGAACAGACCAGGTGGGCGTAACGACTGCCAACGGAAGGCGTGTCCACCCCTTACCAACAACCAATCAAAATTTTTCAAACCACTTTGCAGTCAGATGATAGTTCAAAATACTAAAAAATCAAAAAAAAAATTGAACAAAAGAATCTTTTACGTCATTTATATATTTTTTAAAATGTCACCATAAAAATATTGGTTTAATTAGAAAAATTAAAACAAATTTTAATTCAATACATTATTATTATTATTGAATTTAACCAAAAATTTTAAGTACATATAATTTTTTTTGCAGCATTTCTAGAGATCGTGTTACCTCAATTCTCAAAGTCACACCCTCTGGATTTTGTAGTGGGGATGGCCTGGCAGGGGTGTGACAAAATGGCATGCGGACTGTGGAAGGTGGCTCTTCGCAGGTCGTCCAGTCGCTTTTCAGCGTTGGAAGTCACGCGGCGCGGTGCAGATTTCACGTGTTTCCGTTTCGAATTTTGCGCAAAACCACCACCTCCAGTGCCCAAAGACAACCACCAAAATTGATTCGTCCATTTGGAACAAAGTCCGGTCAGGACAAGGCCGAAGAATGGGTACAGGTAAATTTTTCAATTACTCTATCATATCAATAAGCAGCATTTTTGATTTTGATTCTTTTTTGTTTAATGTAAAATTTAAATTATCACTTTTATTTGATTTTGCACTCATTTATTTTTTTGATTTTTTTGTTTTGAAAGTCAGATTACGAGATGATTTCTTAAACACCAATGACTCCATTATCACAAATTTGATTGTCTCCAAAAGACAACGCTTCGGAGAATTTGAATAGAGTCGAGGATTAAGCGAGGATTTCTCGAAACTATAAATCATAAAACGAAGTCGAGTATCTTATTTTTTTCCTTATTGCAATCAAAATAAGTTTCGTAACGATAACAAAAAAAAAATACTGTAAATTTGGTTAATAATTGAGTAATAAAGGTTTATGTATAGTAAAGAATAAAAATCAATTTGTACACGGTTTTGAGTTGAAATTTTCGGAAACGGTTGAGTTGCAAACAATAGCCTTCCTAGTTTTGTTAATAATAAATATAAATTGCCCCGTTAGATTGCAGTACTTTCTTTTCAATTACTATTATGATATTTGGACATTCTAAAAATGACAAAAAAAATTAACCGAATAAAAATTTAAATTCTAGGAACCCGGAAATTTTTATTTAAAATTAGCTTTTAATTCTCAACTCTTCATCGTGTTTATTGAACCGTATAATTATAAATTTATTTTTAAGAGAAAATTTTTAGGTTAATTTTAATTTTCAAATTTGACACTTATCTGTCATTTTCAAGAATTGAGGTTATCTTAAAAAGTCAATCTTTTGAGGTTATTTATTAATGTCATTTTTGACACTTCACCTGTCAAGTAAATTGAAATAATAGTTGTGAAGTTAGTTTTAAAATAATTTATTCATAAAATTGAAATTATTTCATAAGACATAAATTATACAATAACAATTATATTTAGATATATTAATTAATGATTTCTTTATGTTCCTTACCTTTTTTTTGTCGATTATAATTTATTTGTTCGATTTAATTAAAATTAAAAAAGACGTTTTAAACGCTAATTTGACTTTTTTGTTCGGGGTGATACTGAATAGTCAAAACAGCATAAAAAATTATTAATGTGGTTTATTTTTTATTGCTATTTGGTTTTAATTTCGTTGTTAATTAACAAGTTTAATTAAAAATTTGTTTATTTTAAAAAAAACTTTTGCAATTACAATTCCATAATTTAATTTAAAAAAATTTTGAAATTATTTTGATTTTTTCACGTCACTTGTCAAATTAGCAATCAAAACCTGTCAGTTTACTTCTTTAATTAGTTTAATTTATATCATTATTCAAGATTTATTTTTAGGTGACCGTCTTCTAGATATTCCTTGTAAAGTATGCGGAGATCGAAGTTCCGGTAAACATTACGGAATTTATAGTTGTGATGGTAAATTAAAACCGGGGTTGTTTTAATAATTTTTTTTCTAATTCTATTTTTTTTTAATAAAAGGTTGTTCGGGTTTTTTTAAACGCAGCATTCACAGGAATCGGGTTTACACATGTAAAGCAACAGGAGATATGAAAGGTCGTTGCCCCGTGGACAAAACTCACAGGAACCAATGCAGAGCTTGCCGATTACACAAATGTTTCGAAGCCAGCATGAACAAAGATGGTAAGCAATTTGTACCAAAAAAAGTACTACTAAATATATTTTTTGTGTTGTGTTTTTACCTTTTGTGGTTATCGCGAGAAAGAGAGATGGTAAAAGGAAATTTACGGCAAATTAGGGGCTGAAAACGGTTTCGAACCCTCCTCCTTCTCCATCTCTTCACCTTAATCCTGTTAGCGTCGACGGAAGTGATTTAGAAAACTGCCGGCAACAGTTCGCGTGAACTGTCGCTGTACGGTTTTCCGTTTCGAAATATTAGATCCACGGAAATTGGAACAACACCATATCCGGGGTTGTTACCTACTCTTTTACGTTTCAAGAAACTTTAAATTAATATCTTTGAAACATGTAAAATTATTCTCTTTTTATAGGATTCCTCTTTCAAATACAATAAAACCTCGATATAACGAACCACGTTAGAGCGGACTTCGGAGAAAAATATTTTTAAGTTACATTTCATCTTTATAGATAAGTCTATAGGATGTATAAATAAATTGCTATATATTTTCATTGAACTAAAACTAGAACTAACATTAGACCGAGAACTAGAAACATTCGGTGATGAATGAAAGCAGTGATTAACTTTTGTATTTTGTGATGAAAGATTCAAAAATAAAAATAAGTTTGTGTTCTTGTGCTGTGACTGCTCTTATACACACAAAATCTATTTATAGTAGACGCCACTAGAGCTGGCAGTAAATCATCGTTTTCCGCTGTTACAAATGCCATACGTAGTAAATTAAAATTCACAAACCGCTAGAGAGTAATATGTGTCAGAAAGAGATAGCATTAGTTTAATATGTCTGCTGTACAATTCAAATAGCCACGTTCAAATAGAAACGTCTTGTGAATCTGTTGGTGTTTTCACAAGTCGAAAATGAAATAAATTAATAATTAATGAATAAATTATGAACCACTGTTTAAATAAAAGTTACTTAACCCTTTGTGTCCCAAGAAGTCAAACATTTTGAAACTTTGTGACAGAATCAGACAGAATTAAAACGCTATCAAGATACACTCAGTAAAGGCCTTTGGAATAAAATTTTAGCAAAATATGCAATCCCCCTATTTTCGCATAGTCTAAGTGTCAAAAAAGATGCTAATTCAAAAATTCATGGAAACCGTGTTTATTGAAATTAAGAAATAAAACTTATTTTAAATTGAAGCTTGAAGCTTTCTGTTTAAATCGATGTATAACAATCGATGGGTTGAATTAAAAAAATATTGAGAAAAAGAGTATTGAGTTAAAACTAACATTTTCGTATAACCTAAAAGTGTCAAAAAAGATGCTAATTTAAAAATTCCTGGAAGCCGTATTTAT